TGGAGAGTGAAGGTTCCAGAGCAGGGGAGTGACAGGTGCTAGGTGGAGTTCTCAGGTGACCCAATAGGAAGCCTGAGCTGGAAGGGGGCAGGCAGGAAGCTGCTAGAATCCATGGGCTATGTCCCTGGGGATTCCTGCCCCTCCCTTCTGGACACAAAAGGCCTCAGTGTTGGCAAAGGAACCAGAGTGACTTCACAGGCCCTACAGACAAAGGAAGGGTCCTGCTTAACCAGGTCACTGTTCTCTGAGCTCCTCAGGGGCCTCTGTCCTTGGCAGGATGTTCAGGGTATACACTACTGCTCCCCCAGCCCCCCTCCCACTGGCAGCTTTCTCTGGGGCAGCGGTTCTCAACTGGGTTGATTTGCCTCACAGGGGACAGTGGGCAATGTCTGGAGACATTTTTGGTTGTTACTGGGTGGGGGGGATGGTATGCCATCTAGTTGTGTAGAGATCAGGGATGCTGCTAAACATCCCACCACACACAGGATTGCCCCCTACCACAAGGAATTATCCAGCCCCCAATGTCAATAGTGCTGAGGTTGAGAAGCTCTGGGTCAAGCAGCAAGTTCCCACATTCATGTGCTTACTTGTAAAGGGAATACTATCATCCCTATTTTACAGAGGAGGAAACTGATGCTCAAAGGAGGAAGCAGCTTGTCCAAGGATGTGTGGCAAGTTTCTTCAGTCAACCAATATTTATTAAGCATCTACTTTCTGCCAGGCACTATTCTAATAGCAGAAATGAGGCTAGGAGTCATTCATTCATTCATTCATTCATCAACAGACATTTACTGTGCAGGCTGCTGGGGATATATAGTAATGAATCAGATCCCAGGATGTTCTGACTGAGACCCCTCAGAGCTCACAGTCTAGTGAGAGAGGCAGCCACATAGACACTGACAAAACAGTGAGACCAGGAAAGCCCAGGGCTACCTGGAGAAATCCAGGAAGGCTTCCCAGAGGAGGTGTTTATAAACTCAGATACGAAGGAGAGTAGGAGTTAGCCATCAAAGATTGAGGTTTGTGTAGAGGGTTTCAGGCAGAGGGAACAGCATGTGCACAAGTGTGGAAGAAGGAGGATATGGCTCATTTAAGACCTGAAGATGGTTCAGTGTGGCTGAGTGTGTTATGAAGGGGAGGATGAGAGAATGGCAGGGCCCAGATCTCATAGGGCCTTGACTGTCAGGCTGAGGTGCCTCAACTGACTTTCTGAGTTGTGACAGGGATGCAGCAGGTGGCAGCTGAGATAAATAGAGCTCTGAGACCATCTGCCTGAGGAGCTTCCCTGGGTCAGTGGCTGGGGAGGGGCAGGACCCTTGGACGTGCTACTTGTCTCTTTGAATTATGCTGCTTCACCCATGTGTGGTCCTTACCCAGCTGGGTCCCGTGTGGAGGTCTCTCCAAGGCTGGGAGCAACACAAAACCCCATCCCAGGAGGATAGCCAGGAGCCCCACCTCATCTGCTGGAAAATGGGCCCTCCCACCAATTACTGACCTCTTTGTCAACAAGGGCACAGATCCAGAGTTAAGAGTACCAGGAGGTGGGCTGGCCGAGTGGCGCATTGGTTAAGAGTTGGCTTGGGACGCCAGAGGGCCCCGGTTCGGATCCCACATGTGAGGGCCAATGACACTGCCCTCTACAGCTAAGATGCTGAACAGCAGCTCAACCTGGAGCTGGGCTGCCGTGAGTCACCGGCGACGGCGTAGGCTGCAGTCCTTGTGGCAGTGGATTGCCATGGGCTACCGTGTGTAGCCGGCAGCCAGCATGAGCAGCCAGCAGCCGCCGTGAGCGGCCGTCCAGAAGCTGGCGACTGATCTGCCTCACCAGGGAAGAGCGCAATGATGGTGCCAACTTGGGCCAGTGAAGCAACGTCCTCCACAACTAGGCTGAAGAACAAAAGGACAGCAACTTGTCTGTTCCCCTTCCCTCTATTCCCCAGTAAAATCTTTAAAAAAAAAAAAAAAAAGAGTACCAGGAGGTGTCTCTTCACTTCTGTGAAATTGGCCATGATGTATCAAATGAGGCCTTTGGTCACCTCTGTCCAGCATTCACACCCTCAGTGATTGGCCTCAGTACCGGGAAGGCCCAGTCGTGAGCATCCTAGGATCATTCATGACCCTGCCCTCCCCACTGCCTTTGCCTATGCAGTTCCCAACACTGGGGGTTGTATGGAGGCACCTCCAGGCTCCACTCTCCCCTGAGTGGCAAAGCTTTCAGCTCTCAGCACCCAGTTCAAACATCATCTGTCCAGTGATGTTCACCATCCCGTGGTCCCTCCCCTGCCCCATCCAGAGCCTCTTGTTGCCCTCTCTGGGCACTGTGTAAGTAGCTTATCATAGCCGTTGTCCCACTGGACTGTCAGGGTCTATTTATCCATCTGTCTCCTCTGAACCCGGAAAGTGCCTCAAGGGACTTTCAATATTTGTAGATTGAAAGAATGAATCCAGACAGGTGGACAGAGCTCTGACTGCTGTGTGACCCACTGAGCCTTTCTGAGCCTCAGTCTCTTCAGCAGCCTTCCAGGGTTAGTATGAGGCCAGAGAATGGCTGGTTAGTGTAGTAGGTAAGGGCACAGGCTCTGGGGTCTGACAGGTCTGAATTTAAATCCTGGCTGTAGGTTGTGACCATGGACAAGTTTCTAACAGCTCTGTGCCTCAGTTTCCTCATCTGAAACAATGAGGATGATAGTGCCTGTGTCCTAGGGAATATTCCCCTCTACGTCCTTGTCTCTCCTCTAAAGGGCATCGTGCCTGACTCAGGAACGCATAAGGTTCCAGGTTGCCAATAGGCTGGAACCTGATGCCCTGTGGGTTGTGTGACTTCAGGAAGGCATTGATTTCGTAGTCCCAGGGTCTACTACTAACTCTACTAGAAACCTGTTCAGACCTTCCCCTCTCTCAGCAAACCTCCCGTTACCTCCTCTCACCCATCCTCATCTCCGCTGATGAGCTTGCTTCCTACCTCACTGGGAAAGGTGAGCACCATCAGCAGAGACTGCCCACGAGCCCCCACTACTGCCCCTCTGCTCAGTGCCCACTGTTCTACCTTCCCTGAGCTCCCAGCAGGGGCAGCAGCAGACCCCGCTCCTTGGCTGTTATTCCAGCAACTTCTCTCTCCTTCACCCTCAATGCGGCCTTTTTCTCCTGGGTCTTTCCCATCACTCGTCACTCCACAAATACGCTGTTACTTCTTGTCTTCACAAACAGCCACTGCCACATTCTCTCTCCTTCCCTTAAATAAAACTCCTTGAATGCATTGTCTCCACGTACTGTCTCCATTTCTCCTCCTCCCAGTCTCCCTTGGATGCCTCCCTTGGGCTTTTGCTCCTATTGCTCCACCAAAATAATGCTTGTCAAAGTCACTGAAGACCTCCACGTTGCTAGACCTGGAGAACAATCAGTTCTGGGTTCTGCCACACTTGACGTTGCAGCCTTTGCCACCACTAGCCGCTCTCTCCTCCTGGAACCACTCTCTCCACTTGGCCTCCAGGACAGCCCAGGTTTCCCTTCTACATCTCTGGCTGCTCCTTCTCAGTCTCCTTGGCTGAGTCCCCCTCCTGTCCCTGGCTTCTAGGAGTACTCCAAGGCTCCAAATGTTAGAGTGGCCCTCTCTTCCATCTACCTTCGCTTCCTAGGTGACCTCATCTAGGCCCAGTCAGTACTGTCCAGGCGCTGTTGACACCAGCCCTGACCATTCTCCTGTACTGCAGACTCGTCAGTCCAACTGCCTTCCCCACATCAGCACTGAGACATCTAATTGGCATCGCAAACCTCACATGCTCACAACTCCTTCCTTCCGTCATCTCGCCAAAATCGTTGTCGTCTTCATTGTCTTCTTTCTCTCACACCTGAGATCCAATCTATTAGCAAATCCTATTGGCTCTTCCTTCAAAATGGATCCTAAAACTGATCACTCCTCACTACGGCCACTGCCACCACCCTGCTGCTCCAAGTGGCCATCATCTCTCCCCTGCATTAGTGTCGTCATCTCCTAACCAGTTTCCCAGGCTCCACCCTTTACCCTCTTCAGTCTTTCCTCAACCCAGTAGCCAGAGGCATCTTTTAAAAACTTAAGCCAGCTCATGTCACTTCATCGCTCCAAACCCTCCAATGGCTCCGATCTCACTCGGCATGAAATTTAAAGTTCTCACACTGGCCTGCAGGCCCTCGTGGTCTCACCACTGTGACCTCCTCACCTGAACTCCCCCTCTCACTCACTCCATTCCAGCCACGCTAGCCTCCTTACTGCTCCTTGAATATGCCAGGCTTGTTCCTCCTCAGGGCCTTTGCAGGTGCTGTTCCTGCTGCCAGGAACACTCTTCCCACGGATGCCTACGTGGCTCGCTCTCCTTCCTTCAGATCTTTCCTCCCAGCCCTCCTTCTCCGTGAGGTCTTCTAACTGGATACCCTAAGATCTCTGTCCTACCTCAGCATCCCCGAGTCCCCTTCCTTATCCTTTATAATTATCTAAGAAACTATGTATTTTCCTTATTTACTTTTGTCTTCTTTCTCTCTTACACCCTAGGATATAAGACCCTCGAGGGCAGGGATTTTTCTGTTTTGCTCACTGCTGTATCTCTAGTACCTGGTGGGAGGTAGGTGCTTTACATGTACTGTCCTTACAGAATGAATGAATGAGCTTCCCAGGGCTTCAGTCTCTTCATCTGGAGAATGGGGATACTAACACAACCTACCTCCTGGGGTTGTGTGAGGGTTACTGGAGCTGAGTGATTGTTCAGGTGCCCAGCACGGGCCCTGGAATGACAGGAAGTGTACAGCAATGCACCCTTCTCATCCCTCTGCCCTGCCCCCATGCTGTAGAGAAGGGCGTGGGTTGGGATTTGCCCCATGTAGCTCCCATGATAATCCGTGCCTCTTCCTGAGCCCTCTTGGTGAGTGACAGGCAGGGCCTTACCTGGGTGGATGTCCTGAAACAGGGACTTCCAGATGGTATACTGCAGGGGCCCCGTGTACTTGGAGGTTGGGAAGTCTTCGTATGTCAGATTGGTCTCATGGATTTTCCCTTTGAGCCTGGAAAGAGAGCAGGAGAGCAGGTTGCATTGGGGGCTGGATTCCTGGCCCAATGCTGGGGTCCTACAGCCACCTTCAGGGCAGCGGACACAGGGCGAGGTCATGCATGTGAAGTCTGCCAGACTCAGGTTCAAGTGCCTGCTTATACCACTTCCTACCTCTCTAGCTATTAGCCTCAGTTTCCTCCTCTTTAAAATAGGTGCTACGAGGGCCAGCCGAGTGGCTCAGTTGGTTAAGAGCTCACTCAAGAGTTTGATCTCTGAGCAACAGCAGTTCAAGTCCCAGCCCGAGCTGAGCAGCCGCTGAGCTGCCAACAGTGGCAGGATGGCTCAGCTAAAAATAAATAAATAAGTAAAATAGGTGCTACGATAGCACCTGCCTTCTAGGTTGTGGGGATTACATGGCATGACAATATACAGAGTGCTTAGCCATAGTGTTTGGCTCAAGGTCAACACCAAATACATGATGTTAGCTATCAGTATTGATCATCAACAAACCAATAATTATGTGTTATTATTCTTAAAGGTGGCTATGGGACCAGAGAGGCCTGAATCCTGGCTCCCCACATACTAGATAGCCAGCTGCTCTACGTCTCTGTGCCTCAGTTTCTACATGTGTGAAATGGGGAGGATGGTGGTAACTACCTTCAAGGGGTCTCGTAGGGTTATAATAATAAAAATATTATTTATTATATATACTATCCATGTCATTATAAATAACATATAAATTTGTTATATAATATACATAATCTAGTATATTGTAACACAAGTAATATGCTGTGTTATGTATATATCAAGACATAAAGCCTTTAGCCGAGGCTCTGGAACACAGCAGATGTCTTACACATTTGATGGAGGTATGAATGAATGAATTCACTGCTAACCACCCTGTCTGCCTCCATTCTCAGCACCCTGCATGGGCTGGGAGAGGGGTACCCATCTGGGGATGGCCCGCAGCAGGCGGTCACTTACCGCTCGGACAGCGAGGCCACCCCAGCCAGGAAGGTGTGCCGGTCGGTTTCAGCCAGCCGCTCCTGTAGGATCTGGGCCCCTTCCTGCACCTTGCGCAGCTGCTGGCTGTAGCGCTGGACTTTCTGCTCGATGTCGGTCAGCGTGCGTGCTGTGTCTGCCTCCAGTTCCTCCAGCATGGCCTTCTGCCGCTCCCGCAGCAGCCGGTGCAGCCGCTCGAAGGCCTCACCAATGGTGGTCCGCAGGCTTTTGGTGGAAGACTGTGGGGACAGTCATCATGGGTTATGTCAGGGAGAGCAGACAGGGTGATCCCTGGGTGAGAGGAGGAAACCGAGAGCCTTAGCATGTAGAGAGGAAAGGGCATGCTTGGTTGGGGGAATGGCACATGCAAAAGCATGGTGGTATGAAAGGGCTGGCATAGCCAGAGACTGCAAATGGTTCTATGCGCCCCGTTAGGAAACAATGAGATGGTTTGGGTGAGACAATGAGGCTTGAACTAGAGGATCAGCAAAGGGACATGGCTTGAAAGACATTTAGGGTGTCAAAGACATCTTTGGCCCTGGTGACAGACTGGCTGGCTACAGGCGACAAAGGTGTGAGGATGATGCCCAGATTTCTGGCTTGGGGGTCAGAGGGATGGGAAGCTAGGAAATGGGGTGGGAAAGAAACTGGGAGGATGGAGGGGGGGGGCAGGGAGATGTTGAGTTCAATCTGGGACACAGTGAAGTCTTTATTTTAAAAAAACCATTCATGGGCCAGCCGAGTGGCGCAATGGTTAAGAACTGGCTTGGGACCCCAGAGGGCCCCGGTTCAGATCCCACATATGAGGGCCAGTGACACTGCCCTCTACAGCTAAGATGCTGAACAACAGCTCAGCCTGGAGCTGGGCTGCTGTGAGTCGCTGGCAACGGCGTAGGCTGCAGCCCCTGCTGCAGTGGGTTGCCATGGGCTACCATGTGTAGCCAGCAGCCAGCGTGAGCGGCCAGCAGCCGCAGTGAGTGGCCGTCCAGAGGCCGGTGACTGATGTGCCTCGCCTGGGAAGAACGCAATGATGGTGCCAACTTGGGCCAGTGAAGCAACGTCCTCCACAACTAGAATGAAGAACAAAATGACAGCAACTTGTCTGTTCCCCTTCCCCCAATTCCCCAGCACTGTTCCCATCCCCCCAATTCCCCAATAAAAATCTTTAAAAAAAAAAACAACACCAAAAACCATTCATGGTGGGTAACTGGTTAGCTCAGTTGGTTAGAGTGTGGTGCTGATAACACCGAGGTTGCCAGTTCGATCCCCGCACAGGCCACTGTGAGCTGCACCCCCCCTTAAAAGAGTCAACTATGCCGTTGTAGCATGAAAGCAATGTGTAACCAATGACCATGGCTGCTCCCCAATAAAATAAAATAAAAAAATCATTCATGGGCTCAAGCAAAGATGACAGATATCAGAGAGCTTTATAAACTGCATTGTGATGGGCAGACCTTGGTAGTCACTTGCCCTGTCCTGCCACCCCTGAGACCCTCTGGCCAAGGAACAATAGCTAGAGGTTAAAGCCAGTATCAAAGGAGGCAAACATGGACTTTCGTGATTCTTTTGGTCCCCACGGTTATGCCAGGCCCAGAAGGGAGTTGAGTGGTGAAAGGCACGGACTTTCGTGGCCTGCAGCCTGGCTAAGGATCCTAGCTTTGGCAGCCTTAACTGCCTCATATCTGTGATCCTTAGTTTTCTTATGTGTGAAAAGGGTGACACAACTACATTGCGGTGCTATGGTGACGATTAAATGAGGGAATGTTCACAAAATGCATGGCATTGTTTGAGGCGCAGAGAATAAGCCTGGTGATTAAAAGGGCATCGATTCTAACCGGCATACCCTAGAAGTCTTAACTGAGAGATGGCTTCTGAGCTACGGCCTAAGGGATGAGCAGGATGTCAACTGCGGGTGAGGGGAACAGGAAGAGGCAACAGCACGAGTCAGGATGACACAGGGCACAGAAGTGCAGCCAGGCTGCAGCAGCGTGTGGGGCCTGCCTCTGCAATTTTACTTTGTGGGATTCTGGCTGGGAGTTCATAGAGTCAGGGACCCTGCTGTGTGTAGTGCCCAGGGCTCTGTGGGAGGCTCAACAAAGGCTCAATTAGGGCCAGTTCCCTCCCGGTCTTGGCTGCCTGCCTGCAGGAAGAACTGCTGGCAGTGGGCCAGCCTCCCTGCGCATGCCCACCCAGAGCGCCAGGCAGACAAAGGGGTGAAGGAGAGGCTGGGACGTGGCCTCCCTGAGCCCCTCATCCAGGGAAGGCCGAGGCTTCTGCAGTGGCAGGTCGCACATAAGGAAGATGGGGCCTGTCCTCCCTGTATCATCTGCCACTGCCCTCCAAAGGCCCCCAGGTCCCACGGACGCCCCTTCAGGTCCCTCCTTGACCACGCTGCAGCAGTGTTTGGCCCGCTGGCCACCATCTACCAATTGAAAGTTCTGGTTTGCTTCCCACCTCTGTGACTGTTCCCTCTGTGCCACCCATGTGCCTCAGGGCTTGTCCAGGCCAGCTCCTCCCATTCTCATCCTATAGGCCCCCCTCCATCTTTTGCTCCTCCTGCTTTGAGGATGGCCCCAAGTCCTCATCAGTGACCTTGCATATCTCCTGAGCACCACATTCATCTTTCCACCTGCCTCCTCCAAACATACCCCTGGGATCCCGCAGGCCCTCCACCTCCCTCGGTCCACAAGTCAACTCTGTGTCTTGGCTAACAAACTCGTCGCCAGAACATCAGAGTGACAGCCACCTCAGGAGACCCAAGCATGTTTCCTGACCTACCTGGTTTGCTGGCCACAAACCCAGAGAGTTTGCTGAGGAAATCTCAGCATGAGGCTGGAATAGCACTAGGCTCTGACATAATTGGACAGTAAGCTCCCAGTTGGCCACTTACTAGCTCTGGGGCCTCAGGCCAGTCCTTCAGCCTTCCAACGCACAAACTGGGTCACAGCAGATCCTAGGTTTAGGACCATTTCTCCATTCCTTGATGACTAGTAAAATGCTAAATTCCTTAGCCTGGCATTCAAAGTCCTCAACTGATCCCAGCTTACCTCTCTAGTGCCATTGCGTTGTAATTCCACCTGCCTAGAGTGGACACCTTCCCCCCGACACACCGTTTATTCAACTGGCAAATTCCTACTCATCCTGCAAGACCCAGATCAAAAGCTATCTCCTCTGTGACACCTTCCCTTACCTTTCAGGCAGTTAAATAGTTAAATGTTCCCAGAGCATTTTGTAAATACACTGTCCCAGCTTTTATGTGGCTCCCCAGCTAGTGGATCAACCTGTCTTGGGTGGGAATGATGTCTTCCTCACCCCGTTTCCCCTGCCCCCACTGCCCATCCCAGGGCCTGGCACAAGGCTGGCAGTCAAGACCTGCCTGAGAGGTGAAGGAGGGAAGGATCTTGCCCAAGATTGCTCTGCAAAGGTGGGTGCAGACTCCATCTTCTTTCTAGGGTGGGAGCCCAAGGTCTCCAAGGACAAGAGAGGGTGGGTAGGGAAAGTGGGAGTGGCAGGGAGAGGGCAGCTCAGAAGCGGAATATCAGAGCGACAGCCACTCCAGGAGACCCAAGCATGTTTCCTGACCTACCTGGTTTGCTGGCCACAAACCCAGAGGTCTTGCTGAGGACATCCCAGGATGAGGCTGGAATGTGCACTAGGCTCTGGCGGACTTGGACAGTAGGCTCCCAACTGGCCACTTACTAGCTCTGGGGCCTCACGCCAGTCCTTCAGCCTCTCTGTTCCTTAGTTTCCTTGCTGGTAAAATGGAGATAACAGTTCCTACCTCAAAAGGTATTTGTTTGTTTCCCTACTTATGTGCTCTACAAGTATTTACAGCGTGGGAGGCACTGTGCTAGGTTCTGGGAGTCTTGCTGTCATGGAGGTGACATTCTGTGAGGATCAGTGCGACAGTGAATGGGAAACACAATTTCCAGCAGAGAAAGGTTTAGCTCAACTGGTGTGTCCCAGTTACTCTAGTTCTTTCTACGACAGAGCCACCCCTGCCTCACCCCCACTCCCTTTGGTGCCGTCGCTGGTAAAGCAGCCCCCACCCCAGCCCACCACATCCCTGGGAACACACTGGGGCTTGGAGAAGCTGGGGCCATTTCAGAAAAAACAACCTGCCAAGAATGCATCACTCAGTCAGGACCGACCAAGGAAAACATTGGGCCCGGGGAGGGAGATCAGACAGGCCCTCAGGCTGGGCCATTGGAGGGGCAGGCGCCGCAGGAAAGCGGAGTCAGGCACCAGGTGAAATATGACCTCCAAAGCATCCATAGGCATTTCTTGTATAAACACCCCAGTCCAGACAGGAAGCAGGGCTGAGGGAACTGCAGGGGAAGGTGGCCCCACAGGACCCCCCAGAGGTAGACAGATGGACAGGAAAGCAGGGGAGGAAGAGGTCAGTGGAGAAAAACAATGGGGGCGGGAGGTGGAGAAAAGAAGAGAATGCTGGGGAGAAGAAACAGACCATAATATTCCCCTCTCACCCAGATAGAGGCTTCCATTTGCTTTACCTGAGAGGTGCAGAATCACCAGGCAGATGGGGAAACTAAGACTGTGAGAAGCAAATAGGCCAGAGTCCTGTGACTGCTTCTCATCTGTTGCCCAAGGAGGGTCCTATCCAGAGGGCCCCTTTCTCTGAAGAAATGTTTGTCATGACCTCCCTGAGACCCCACAGCAGGTTGGTGGCCAAGCTAGGGCACAGATCTGGATCTCCAATGGGCTCTCCAGGCCCCAGGGTGACCTCTGGAGGCCCAGAGCATTCCTAAGGCTCTGCTCCAGCTGCTGCTGGCAGCGGCGCCCCTACTGGAGTGGAGCCAGACTAAAATCACCCAAGAGCTTAGCAGCTAGGTCTGGGTCCCCAGTTCTTGGTCGCAGAAAGACGGGGCAGAAAACAAAGCAAGCCTTGCCGTTAATGAGCTATCTATGTGGGGAACTTAGAGAGAGCTCCTTAGAAGTGTGCTAGGATCCAGAACTTCAGAGCTGGAAGGAGCCTGATAGAGTCCCCACTGTACATATAGGAACACTGGGGGCCTCAAAAAGTATGCAACTTACTCAAAGGCATACAGTGAGTTACTGGCTGCATCAGAACCCATGGCCTTCCTCTCAGGTCACGAAAGAAGGCTTTTCTTTTTAAACCATTGTAGCCAGAAACTGCAGGGTTTGTCCTATTTTTCAATCCATATCCTAAGGCCTGAGTTTAAAAGGGGAGGTAATACCAGGGTTGGGTCACAAATCATCAGGAGAGCTTCAAGGGAACATGCGCAGGGTTGGCTTCTCGGGGAATGGCCATGTTTAATAACGGGAGAGGAAAAAAGACCCCTGCAGGAGCAGGAAAGGAGAAAGGGCCCCATCTTTAGCTGAGGCACCAGGCCCAAATCCTTGCCCTCACCCTGGAGTGGGTCCCGCCGCATTTACCTTTGCTGATGTCCCAGCTTTGGCCCTATCCCAAAGCTCCACCCCTCTCATGTGAAGTTGGGCCCCTCCAAACCCGGCTTCCACAGCAGGCCTGAGTCCCTACCCCTCTCCTTCCCCACTGAACACGCCCCAGGAAACCCGGGCCCCCACCCAGCCGGCTCCACTCCGGTGTCCAGGCCAGGTTCACCTTGGTCTCTGCCAGCTGTCGCTTGAGTAGCTGCAGCGCCTCTGTGTGCTCTCGCTCGCTGTCCTGAAGGGCCTGAAGCTGCTCCTTCAGCTCCCTCTGGAACAACACAAGGCCGAGATGGAGGCGCAGGCCAGACCAGGCCTTCCGTGGTGATGCAGAGCCCAGGCTGGGCCGCTGCGGCGCTGGGAGTTATCCCGGCCTTGTCTTCCCTTCTTCCAGCACCCTCCTCCCATTGCAGTTCAGCAACCACCATGCCCTGTAGAGTCCTGTTCCTAAGAACCTTCAGAGTCTGTTCCCATCTTTCAACCTTTCATCTAGATTCTAAAGTTTTGCTACAGCTTCCTCTTTGGCATCCTAGGAGCTTCTGGCCTCCCTGTCTTCAACCCACCTCCACATACATCCTGCCCACCCCGATCTGGTGGCCAGGGCTCCTTGCTTAGAAGCCTCTGATGGGAACCAAGGCTGTACCACCATCATCGCTAAGATTAACTGACAACACTCTCCTAGGGCTCCCAGTGGGCTGGGCGCTGTTCTCAGTCCTTTGCTTGTATTGGGTCATTTAATCCTCTCAATAACACTGAGGTAGGCACTACTATTATGCCCAGTTTCCAATGGAGAAGATGGTACAGAAAGGACAAGAGACTGGCCCCAAAGCATACAGCTAAGCATGTAAGCAGAACGCCAGAATTATAACTCAGGCAGCCTGGTTCTGGAGATCATGACCTTGACACCAGGTGACACGTTTTCTGCAGTGATGGACACCCATGATAAACAACAACAAAAGTACATGATAGGACATATCAAAATTTTAAATAAGGACAGGGTCAGTATTATTGCTTTTTCCTTTGTCTCAGGTTCCAATATGGCTCAGCACAGCATTGCCAGTGACCTTGTCTTTATTTTAAAATTAAATATTTTGTTCATCATAAGGTTTTTTTTGCATTAATTTTGATTTTTTAAAAATTGCATGAAATATTATTCATGTTGACTACTGAGTTTTGGGGCACCCGCTTCAATCTTGTGCCTGAAGCAAGTGCCTCACCTCTTATCCCCTGGTTCCATCGCTGTCTCCACCATCCTTCCCCACTCACTTCCATCCAACCAAAGTGGCCCCCTCCCTGTTCTTCCATCACTCTGAGCTTGCTTCAGCCTTACAGCTTTGCACTTGCTGCTTCCTCTGGCTGGTGAACTCCACTCTCAGATTCTCTCCCAGTGATTCCTTTGCATCATTAATGTATCAACTCAGATGCCACCTCCTCAGAGAGGTCTTGCTTGACCACCCCACGTTACAGTAGCACCCCCTGTACCCTGGGTCCCCACATCCTGTTTCATGGTCTTCATAGCACCATCTGCTGCCTGGGATGATCTTGCTCATTTATCTGACCGTGTGTTTATTGCTCATCTCCTCTACTAGAATGTGAGTGTCATGAGGGCAGCAATCCTGTCTGGCTTGTTCATTGTTCACTCTTCTATCCCCAGTGCATACAATAGTGCCTAGCACACAGTAGGGCCTCAAGAATTATTTGTCAGATGAATGAATGCAGTGTGGAGGTGGGGGCCCCCCAGTATAGGGTCCAGCTATCTGCTCGATTGAGCATTTAGCCCATTGTATCATAGCTTGTTGTCATCCTATCTGTCCTTCCTCCATCCTCATTCTAGCCCATGAGTCCTCCAGGCCTTTACAACGCTCTCTTGCCATATCCCCTGCACCCATCAAAGGCCTGGCACTGAGATGGAACTCAAGGGAGTTTGCTTTGTGAATGAATTTCCATGGAAATACCCTCTGAGCAGGGTCTGGGTCTCCCAGTCAGCCTGGGCTGTGAATGATGTGGCCAGGGGGCTGACTTACCTGTTCACACCTCCTGCCTACTCATTCATCTCATCAGAGCAGGGAGGGCCCTCAGAAAACATCTAGTCCAACTAATTTTACATACTAGGTAGCAAAACAGGAAAATAATCATGAAGAAATGCTAAAGGAAGAACACAGAAAAAATTATCTTTGCTTACTATGCCTTATTCGTTCCACAAAGTATTTATTGAGCAACTATTATGTCCCAGGCACTGTTGAGGCACTGGGGATACAGCAGAAAACAAGACAGACACAGTCCCTGCCCACAGGAATCTTCCAGTCTAGTGGGGGAAGACAGATAATAAACAAGGAAAATAATAATAACACCAGATAATTACCTATTACGATCTGTTCCCTAGAGCAAATAAGCCACATGGAATGGGGGGTGAATTTAGGTAGGGTGGTCAGGGAAGGCTTCTCTGAGAAAGATAAGGAGAAACCAGCCATGAAAATAAGAGATAGAAAAAATAGGAACAGCTTATTTTGTGAGAGTAGAGAACTTGCACAGACATATATACTGGTTGGAACGCTGGTAGTCATCTCAGGCCATAAGGCAACTATAAAGATGGAAGTCACAAGCTGAAACAAGAGAAGTAGAAGGAAGAAGGAGTCTGGGTCCCTGTGGGGTGGCCACACCACCACTGGACTCAGTGATGTGCTAGGAAACTTGCTCTCTGGAAAGGGAGGGAAAAAGCCCCAATTTACAGTGCTTGCCAGTTTCCATGATGTAAATGCTCCCACCAAAGCCAGTTTCAAGCTATCAATGTGAAATCACTGGACATGGAGCTGGGAAGAGGTTTGCATGATCAGCTCTCAGGAACCGGTGCAAGCTGGCTCCAGCACACCACTGCCTGGGGTCCTTTCCTATTGACTTGTTTTACATGGAGGAGAAATATACCCTCATCTAATTTCAGCTCCTTTAGTCAGGTCTCTATTACTAACAGCTGAAAGTCATTCCTAATGGATTCCTGTACATCTGAGTCGTTGCAGCAGATGGATCTCATTCACCTACGAGTGCAGAATGAGTGCTCCTCAGACCCTCCCTGATGGCCGTGGGTCTGTCCAGCTTGGGACAGTCTGGCTGAGATGCAGATGTTTGAGTACATGGGCCGAGCACTACAGTCCTCTCCCTTGGTGGTCCTCCTGAGTCCACAAAAGACCCAGCCACCCAGGCAGCTCTTCAGAGTCTGAGAAAACTGCCCTGGAGGCCACGTTCCCCACATTGCTCAGGGCACCCGAGGGACTCAGACAAATTCCTTCCTGCTTTCAAAGGCTGAGGAACAAGGACAGCAGGCCTGCCCCTTCCTCTTGGACCTTGGGAGCCATGGAACGCTCATTTGTCCATTCCACAAACATGTGCTGAGGCCTCCTTGGGCCCCACATGGTGCTGTGTTAGCGACGGGGAGCGGGATGAGGGACAAGTCCCAGCCCATGATGCCTCGGGAAGGGTGCCGATGAGTGGAGGGGAAGACAAGGCCACAGGCATTAACATCACAGAGAAGGCTGGAAGTGTTAGGAGACCCCAAATCTGCTTCTCCTCCCACGTTTCCCATCTCGGGGACGGGCACCCCAACCCCACTGCCAATGAAGCCACCCTGGACACTGTCCACCCACCAATCCAATCAGTCTTCAAGTTTGCTCCGGAATTTGTTCTCTCTTCTTTATGCCTTCTGCACCCCCTCCTCTTTCCCCCTGATCGGTTTTTATCACTTCTTTTCTGGACTGTGGCCCCAGCCTCCTCCCTGTCCCTGCATTCTTCACGTGTCCCACAGAGCAGCTGGAGTGATCCTTCTAAAGGACGATGTGTCCACACATCTTCCCCAATGTCTTCTGCAAGATTTCCGCGTTGTCTGGGAATAAGGGCGCAAAACCTGAGTGTGGCATTCAAGGCCCATCACCCAGATTTCTTCTCCAGACCTACACTGTCTAATACAGTAGCTACTGGCCACATGTGGGTACTTAAAATGAGATTAAATGGAAATAAAACAGAAAATTCTGTTCCTCAGTTGCACTGGTTGCACATTTCAAGTGCTCAGTAGCCACATGTGACCAGTGGCTGCTGTATCAGACAGCACAGATGCACCACCTTCCGTTATTCCAGCAAGTTCTATTGGACAGTGCTGCTCTAGATGCACTAAGCTTCTTGCAGTGCTGCCCTCCAGGCCTTTGCCCCTGCTATTCCCTCTGTCTGGAAATGCTCACCCACGTTTTGCTCCACTTGTCAGACTCATACTCATCTCTTAAGACCTAGATCAAATGTCACCTCCACTGAGAATCCTTATATCAAACTCTCCAAACCGTCTTTAGACCCTCCTGTATGTGCACCATTATGGCAAGCACTGCATGTTAATTACAAAGTTACCCGTCAATCTCCCCCACGAGATTGTGGGCTCTTGAGGGTAGGAACTGTGTGTGACAAATTTTCACACTCTTAGTACCTAGGACAAGGCCAGGCACAGAGTGACTTGGGAAAGAGTTTGCAGAATGAATCTGCCCAGGGAAGAGGCTGGGCTGGGTCAGAGCTCACCTCTGAAAGGGTGGGAGGTAGACAGGCCCTAGGCAGGCAGCTGTCCCCAGGAGGGCTATAGAGCCGGCGGGAACACCTAGCCTAGGAAAACCAAACCCTGAAACCCACAGGGCAGGACTAGGAGGCAGCCTGAGCTCTGCTTCCACACCCCCGTCCCCACCCCCACCCTGTCCCCTTCCAGGCTTGGGATCAGACATGGATTAGGAGACTGGCTCTGCCATGCACTAGCTGTGCAACCCTGCGCATGTACCCTAACTTCTCTGTGCCCTGGTCCCTCAACTGTGAAATGGGGATAATAATACCCACTGGGAGGGTAAAATGAGATAACAGTAAGAAGCGTTTAGCCTCATAAGGCAGAGCTTGGCATGCACTGAGCACTCAGGAGACAGAGGGGTCACTATGTCCCACATGAGGCTTCTCAGTCATTTCTCCATGTCCTCGCCCCTCACTGTGTGTCCAGGTCCCTCCCTGACTCCTTAGGAAGGGGCTCCAGGGACCATCTGGTCCAACCCTCTGGATTTCTAGAATAGGAAACTAAGGCCCAAGAAAAGGGACTGACTGGCCCACAGCCACACAGATTGACAGAGGAGAACCAACCAACTGGATAATTTACTCCCAGCAGAGGTCAGAAGGAAACAGGAAGCTACTGATAAACTCCTAAAATGATAGAGCCAACTGCAAGGGTAATGCCAGAACTCAGAACCAGAAGGGCTGGAGGTG